AGGCGCTTTTGCTTGATATAAAATCCTTGGATCACATTTTATTCCCTTGAGTATCTTAAATACAAAACTCCATTTTCTTCTGGCATAAAGATTTGCTGTTGAGAACTGTGGTTACTAGAGCTGGGAAAGAGGGATGGGGAGAGGGTCAGCAAGAATCTGGTTAATGGACACAAAGAATGATTATGTATTGTAATGATGAACATACTAATTATTCTGATGTGATCTTCATGTATTGTACACAATATTGATAGTCAACTCTGTCCCCCACAAGTATGTATTATCAATTATTTAAAAAAACCCAAGATTTGCTGTTGAAAGATTTGATGATATAATTTTCTTTTCCTTATAAGTAACTTGCTTTTCTCAATCTGTCCAAGAAAATTTTTTTTAATTTCCTTTAAAGTCTAAATTTTATTAGAATATGTCTTAATGTTGGCCATTTGTATTGATATTCTCAGGTAAATGATGTGTTCTTTCAATACAGTTTCGAATCTTCATAATTTTCAGGAAATGTTTCTTCAATACAGTTTTTAGGTATTCCACTTCTTTGCTTTGGTGTCCTTCTGTAGCAACTCCTATTATAATAATGTTGGATCTTCTTTGCTTATTTTCAATATTTATTATTTTCTTTTGAAATCTATTTACTTTTCTATTTTTATTTTTAAAGGTTTTTTTCCCCTTTCCACCCTCCATTTCTCTTCAAGTATCTGTTTTTTTATGTATGTGTTACATTTGATTTAATCTTCGTGTGTGTGTGTGTGTGTGTGTGTGTGTGTGTGTGGCCAGAACAGGAATCCAAACCTTTGACATTAGTGCCACTGCACCACTCTCTAACCAAGTTAGCTAAATGACCAGCCCCCCTTCAAAAATATTTTTTTCTTCCCGCCGCGGGTTCAGATCCTATATAGGGATGACCGGTGCGCTCACAGCGCTCACTGGCTGAGCACAGTGCGGCCGGTCTCAAAAAGGACAAAAATATATATATATATATATTTTTTTTTTTTTCTTTTACTTCTCTTCCATTCTTGAGTCCTGTCACTTCTTTTCTGAGACTTTTAAACTTTAATTTATGTTGTTATTTTATGGCATGTATCGCTTGGAAGATACTCAGCTTACTTTACATTTTATTTGTGGTTACCTATATGCTTGGACAATTTATCAAGTTATTAACATAATTCATTAATTCAACAAATATTTATTGAGCATCTACTGTGTTCAGGCATTGTAGGCTGAAGCTGAGCCTCAATAGTCAATCACCAGATGCATAAAAGAGAAATAAAAACTTATTGTTTTATGTGACTAAAATTTTGTAGTCATTTGTTATGTAACCATAGCTGACTAATGCACCACATTTACAATCATTAAGTCTTCTGTTTACTCTCAACAGAGTACTTTTACACCATGAATTCTTCATTCTTGAAATCCTCATTTTGACCTTGTCAGCTGGGTTTATGTCTTCAGAAAAATTTTAAGAAAGATATATATTCAAGGAATTAAAAGTTTGAAATTTTTTTTGTTTTTTCTTCCACAAATGAATGATATATTTGTGATACAGACAATTTTGAGTCACAAATCTTTCCCCCAATCTTTGCAGTGCAGATGTTGCATCATTACCTTCTGATATTTAGTTTAACAAAAAGTTTTTGCCTGATTTTTTCCCTTTGTAGGGTGTAGGTATTTTTGGTTTTGGGGGGTTTTGTTTGTTTGTTTGTTTGTTTTTAAAAGTGCTTGCAAGACATTTTTTAAATTCTTGAAATAAAGAAAAAATCTCCACCATATTTTTATTGTTTAGTCTCTTTCAATTTGATTCTGCCTTGAATTTAGTGAGCTCTTTCAGCTACAGACTAATGAAAGCTTATGAACACTTTCTATTATATTTTTTCATTATTGCTTCTAGTGTGTGTTTGATTAGTTATCCCAATTACTCAGAGGTTGCTTCCTAGTCCTCTGACTCCTATATTTATTATTTAAATGTCATTGATTTCATCTTTTTTTCTTTTTCCTCTCTATTCTGGGGAGAGAGGTAGTTTTCAATTTTTTTCTTCCATATCAATAATTTTTATAGTTACTTTTTAAAAATTAGGTTTACTGGTTTATAGTTTATAATCCATAAGAACTGCTCTTTTTAATTCTATAGTTTAGTAAGATTTGGCAAATAAATCTAGTCATCACCAAAATCAGTCTACTCAGGGAAAGAACAGTGAGACAAGCAGAAGACCACAGACTGAACTCAGGAAAATGACCATATTTAGGGTCATAAGGAAGAAAAAATTAGAATACAGGTTTTCAGCCCCAACTCCTGCTATCATTCTAGAAGATTTCAGGGTCCATATAGAGAGTCCTTCCCACACAATTCTCTCACTTTCTTTCTGCCTGTTATGGGTTTAATTGTTTTCCCTCCAAAATTTATGTTGAAGTCCTAACCCACAGTATTTCAGAATGTGACCCTATTTGGAGATAGAGTGTTTATGTAGGTAATTAAATTAAAATGAGGTCGTTTAGCCTGGAGCCTAATCCAATATGAGTTGCTTCCTTATAAGAAGAGGAAATTTGGACACAGATATATTCATAGGTAAGACAATGTGAAGCCACAAGAAGGAGATGGCCAGCTATAAGCCAAGAAAAGAGGCCTGGAAGATCCTTTCCTCACGACCCTCGGAAGAAACTAACTTTTCTAATACCTTGATATTGAACTTCTAGCCTCTAAAACCGTAAGAAAATTAATTTATGTTGTGTATGCTATCCAGTCTGTGTTACTTTGTTATGGCATCCCTAGCAAACTTCTGCCCTACCTTCAAGGAAAACCCCAGTCATGGATCATTCCAGTTCTCCCAAGTCAATGAATATTGCAGAACAGTCTCACCCTTAGAACTTGGCAAGCAGTCCCTCTCCTGGACCTAGTGCTTTAATGGGCTCAAAATGATTCTTTCCAGCTATGCTCCACCCCAAAGGAATCTATGGGGTAAAAAAGACATGTTCACTCAGCACCTGTGCCTTCACTCTTAGACAGTCCTTTGAGTACCTGGTCCCTGAAATTCTCTGCTTGCACAGCCCCCAGAAGCCTAACAATGACTTTTTTTTTCTTCCCAGGTCCTTCCTACTGAGAGCCAACAGTATTTCCAGTATCTATATCCCTAGGCCAAACATGTAGCTAAAAGGCCCTTAGGCCCAAGAGGTGAGCAAGGGGCAGAGTAGCTGTGTCAAATAAAATACAGGATACCTTGTTAAATTTGAGTTTCGGATAAACAACAAATAATGCTTCAGTAAAAATAAATTCCAAATATTGCATCAGACATACTTACACTAAAAAAAGAATTCACTGTCTATCTAAAATTTAAAGTTAACTGAGCATCCTTTCTTTTACAAATACAGCAACCCTAGTTGGTGTCAGAGTTGGACATTTGAGCTAGGTGTCCATACACATGAGCACAGGCCCTAACAATATCAAATTGAGCAGGAGAAGGTGACACTGGGAAGGCACGATACATGGGCCAAACAATTCTCTTTGAATCACTGACATTTTGACACAGTAGAAATTCCAAGTTCAACTTGGCTTACCTGGTCATTTTTGAAATAAGAGGAACATATTTTACTTTTACATTATGTTAGCTGTATTTATAATGTTTAAATATTTAGACATATGGCATGTGGGTCTCCATTTTCACTCTTGCCCCAGCTGTACAAATGTCAAACGGTGGTAGTGTTGCAGAAAAACACCCTTAGACATCAATATAATTGTTAATCACATTTAAAGAATGAGGAAACTAAGGCTTAGAGATGTTATACAAATCGCCCAGTCATTCAGCTAGTACAGTCCATTTTCAATCTCAGGTCTCTTTGATTATAAAGCAAATAGTTTTCATCACCAAAAATAACTTACTATTTATAAGAAAATATATTCTTTGATCATATCATTTAACATACATGCATGAAGTTGATCCATTTCATGGGATATCAAGATAGGTATAACGGAAATCCCGATTATGCAGGCTGTGACCTTAAACTTTATGAATACATACATTTGATTTTATAAGTGTGCCCATATTTGATAAAACTGTGGGTTCGTGTTATAATTATACAATTCACAACAAAGATTTATAAAACAGAATGCCAATTTAAGTTTACAATGGCCCGTGTATACGGCAGGATAATTATTTGTAGAAATTCCTTTTTAAAGGATATGCCAACCAGGAGATCAAATTACAACTCAGAAAATTGCCTTTCTAGTCTCATGTTGGAACAAAGAGAGTAAATATTGTTTAGGTATCCCATCAAGATAGGTGTTCCATTAAGATAGGTGAATTAATTGTCACATTCCACTGTAAGAATAATCCCATCAACAGTGAGAAGGCAGTTCAAGTGCTCTTAAATTCAACATCCCTGGGTTTTTTTTACCCCTAATTAACTACTTAACATTGCAGGCCTCAGTTTCCATATTTTGTAAAAACAGATTTTGTAAGGATTGAGATTATACACTTAAAACATTTAGCACAATATCATTATTATGCTGTTTACATTATATATTAAACATATTTGATAATATATAAAATATATATTAATTATATTATGATGTTATTTACTGTCATCGTTCTATTTGACGACTCTCTAGCGAACCTGGAGACACAGAACAAAAGTGCCGAATAATCCCACCGTTAGAACCAGGCAAGGAGGCGGTACGAATTACCAAGACAACAGCGCGCGCCTAGACATTTTTCCGCTCGCGTCTCTTGGGAAGAAAAAAGCACGGGTTGCGTGTTGCGTCATCACTACGCGCTCGGTAGGTTTCTCCGTGCCGTTTGGTAGGTCCCCGCCCGGCTACCGTCGACCCACTCCAGGAATTATTTTTTTCTTTTCAACCTTTGTTACATTGCACTGAGGCTACAAGGCCGTAAGTACTTATGGAAGAGAGTGAGTGAGCGAGCGAGCGAGCGTTAAAAAAGATGCTCAGGCTTTCTCTCCACCTTTGAACCATCCTGTGCGTTCTTAATCCTGTCAGCTTCCTCTCAGCTGGGATCGCGCCGCGTCAACTTCCGGGCGGGTGCCCGCCAGCACGGCCTCCGCCGCTCCCCTTCTTTGGCCCCTTTGTGTCCCCGCAGTGTCGTGGCGCGGGCCCTGGAAGGCCCTTTGTCGAGGCAGGGGGCACCGTAGTGCAGGGAGCCTCTCTCTGTGGGTGGGCGCGCGGCCCGCTGGGGGGTTAGGTTGGGGAACGTGCCTGAGCGTGCTGGGGTAAGAGGAGGTTGCACGAGGGTCAGCTCGTGGTTTCAGTAAGGAGGGTAGGGGGGAGATACGGACGAAGGGGAGTGAAAAGCAATAGAACTTTTAAAATACACTCCTGTCCGCCTTCTGATCGGTGTGGCCTAACAATGAAGCGTAGCCATAAAGGTCCTGAGGCACTGGCACGTTTGCGGGCCCTTTATTGCCTTGGAAATTAACTATGTTATGGCTTTGTATTTTATGTTGTTTTCATAGCCTTTTTCCCTCCTTTTATTATTTCCCCTGCAGATAGTTCATTTATATCCCCCTACCCCCCGGGGTGGTGGTTTCTACACCAATATGAATCTTTTCAATCTGGACCGTTTTCGCTTTGAGAAAAGGAATAAGATTGAGGAAGCGCCCGAAGCAACCCCTCAACCCTCCCAGCCTGGCCCTTCTTCGCCAATTTCTCTTAGTGCTGAAGAGGAGAATGCTGAAGGAGAAGTTAGCAGGGCAAACACCCCTGATTCAGATATAACTGAAAAAACAGGTGAGTTACAATGTTGCAATTTGATGTGGCATCAAAGAATATTTTTAAAAGATGAAAGGCAGAAGGTATTCTAATTTTTATTCTTGATGCATTGTCCTCCAGTGTGCCCTTTTAAATACAGCTTTGGGACTGTCAATAGGTACTATGTCCATTCAGAGTGTTGCTTCACTTTTATATAGAGTTCTTGGAAAATGGCACATTGATGGAAGTTGAATCTGAATTTAAGTCATCCTTAGGTCAGAATGGTTGCTACTGGAAGAGAAATGTAGCTGATTCAGTCTCATGATAGGCTTTGAGTCTGTTATTTGGCCAAACGTTTTCATTCATTCCAGTATTCCTTCAAAAAATATCACCTACTGTGAGGCTAGACATTGATCAAGGTGAAGACAATCCCTATGCACATTCAGATATTGCCTCCATTTGACTGTCTGGATATCCCCAGAATGCAGATGCATAATTGGTATTATTTATAGTGAATGAACCATTTTTACCCATATCAGCAGATTATCACAGATAATAGGATTTGAGAATAAATTATAAATTTATATTTTTGTTCTATGCTGTGTTCGTTGAACAATTAACAATTAGAGGAATATATTTGAGCTCTACGTTTTAGGCATAGTAGAGCTAAGAGCTTCACATTCTGTCATTTAATTTGCACAATAATTCTACAAGACAGGTATTATTATCAACATTTTGCAGAAATGAGACCCAGAGAAGATAATTTGTTAGGATCTTGGTAGAGTCCAAACTCAACTCGAAGCAGTCTGCTTCCTGAACACAAACTCTTAATCATTATTTTGTATGGTTTCTTATGAAAGGTGAAAGGAATGTTATAAGTTTTATTTTAATATTTCTTTCAGTAAGAACTTTTTTTATGCAAAACTCAGTATCTCACAAGCAGCTTTTAAATTAATGTGGCCCGAAAGCTTGTATGTATCACCCTTGGTATCTTTTTCTGCCATGCTTCTATTTAAATGTGACAATGATGGTAGATTCCCTAGAAGTTATCATTAGAGTAACATTTTTAAATACTTCAATATAATTGGAACTTGGTGGAATGATTTGGTAGATTGGATTAAGAGGTAGTTAGGAGTCTTCGGATTTGATTTGTCTTAGTTTTGAACTTGTCTAAATGCAAAAGGGAACAAATGAAGGATTTTAAGTCCAGGGGTGACATTCCTGTGTTCATTCTTTCAATAGATACTTGATTTGCATAACAAATGCTGTGGTTAATGTCTGAACACCCAGGTACTTTAATGTTTTTCCAGTGAATATATTCATCTGTTTCTTATGTGGTTAGACAAGGAAGGTCAAGGTGTAGGCATGGGATTTTGAGTACTTAGATTAAATAATTCACTTAAAATTGGGGATCCACAATTTTTTCACTTCTAAAAGCACTTTGTAAACTGGATTTCAATGTAATGTTTTGTTTATCAGTATTGGTAATGTGAAATTCTTAATTACCTTTTCAAATCAGATGTTTTTTTCCTTTACTTTTTTTTCTTTCTAAGGACACTCCACTCCTTTTCTGTTTATTGGGACTTCTTTTTATACATAAGCTCCTCTTAGAAACTGAGATTGCTTCAGTAATCACATGGTCAGTCTTGAGAAATATGAAAATTAAGTTTGTTCTAGGAATGGTGAGAACGCATTCTAGTAGGAATGGCATGCTTTGCTTTAAAAAATTATTTTTGTTAATGGTTCTGTGAATTTTGGAGAATTTTGAAAACCAAGGCCGATAACTTTAGACTTTATAGGTACTAGGAATCCGTTAAAGACTTCATAGATAGAATGATAAAATGAAAGTTCTTTTATAAAAAAAAAGTCAGTCTAGCAGTATAGAGTACTGTACATTGACAGAGGGTAAGGTTTGTAGGGAGAGAAGTCATTTCGGACGCTCTTATAATCTGAGCTTAATGATGATAGTAAAAATGGAGAAGAAAGATGTGAGAGATTTTCAGACTAATCTGGGTGGGAATGAGATAAGATGAATGTTAAGACTTTTAGTTTAAGTAACTGAAAAAATAAATGATTAGTACTGTACATCAGAATAGGTAGGAAGTACCTATTATAAGCTATTGGGCATGCCTTTAAGAATTCAAATAAGAAACCAAGGCCCTGCCCCCAGCTCCTAAAGCAACTTGGGGAGTAGGGAAGGATGCTAAATTGAGTGTTGGACCTGTGAAGAGGATGAGATGGTCAGGACTGGAGATGGAGATTGACAAATCATCAGTAGGATAAGAGTATTGACCTTACTACTTTTATCATCATATGGTAACATTTCATACTGCCATTATGGGATAATACTATATTAGTTTATTTACAGTAGAGTGTTAGGGTCAAAGTCAGGTTATAGGACAGAAATTGTATATAGTCAAAATTTCCTGTAATCACTCGTTTTCAACGAATGCTGTTATTTTACCTGATGTGAGTTAAGACTTTATTTCCTGCCACTCTCCTTGAATTACTTTGCCACAGCCACATTGTTTCTTGAATATGCCAAGCAAGATCCCATCCCATCTTTGCTTCTTCCAATTTGCTCTTCCTTTTACCTGGAACACCTTCCTGCTGATATTTGCATATAACCGAGCTCTTTCATTTCATTAGGTCTTAGTGAAATGTCACCTTTTTGTTTAGAAGGCCTTCCCTGATCACTCTTTTTGAAATAGCAGCCCCTCTTCTCTCCCCCATCCCCCAGCTTTACTGTATTTTTCTTCATAGTATTTATCATTATCTGTCATTATATTATATATTTGTGTCTCCCTTGTTAGAATGTAAGATCCATGAAAGCAGCATCCTTATCTGTCTTCTTCATCTGTTTATCTCCATTGCTCAGAACAGTGACTGGAATGTAATAGGCCCTCAATAAATGTGTTGAAGTAAGGATTATTGCATGATGAGTGGGTGATGTTAATACTTTATATGTATTTTTTAATATCCTTCAACCTTTTTATAACCTTGAAACAGTTCCCTAGCCATCAGGCACTCGTTAGCCATGGATACTTGAATGTACTTTTGGTATAGCACAGGCTCCCTAATGCCCATCTAAATTCACATTAGCTTTTGGATTTGAGGGAATACGCTTAACTTGTGCCCCCGATTTATTTTACTTTCACAGTGCTCAGTATTATCAATGATTGTTATTTACCCATTATTTCTCTTTTTTCTTTGACTTTGGGTGCACAGAGTGTTTGGAGAGATTAGGATAATGGCAGATGAGTGAGAGAGGAGAGAGCCTACAATGCCTTATGCATTTAAAATAATAGGAATAAAAGAGGATCCTCAAGGAGCATCAGGAGGAAAGGACACGTAGATATGTAGTTAAAATAGTGTGATGTAATAAATCCTATAATAAGGGAAAATATTAAGCAAAGTAGGGTCACAATCTGTGACTCACAAATGATTAAATTATCCATTCTTCCTGGGGAGGATTATGAAAAGTCAGAGAGATAACCTTTGAAGTGGACTCTAAACAATGAAGTTATTGTTTATTGGTTGAACAAATCATGAAAGGGTTGAAAATACATGTTGCCTTGAAGAATCTGTGGTATGTGTATGGAGGGTGGGGAGAGGAGGATTATCTATGGAGGAGGAAGTTTTGACAATATAGATAAAGCCAAAAGAAATTTAAACTGCTGGATTGAGAAGGGCCTTTATATGCTATGCCAGGGAGAATGGATCTTATTTGGTACTGTACCAAATGTAGGGAAATGACAGAGGAAGCAGTTTAGGGGAATTTTTTTTTTTTTTTTTTTTTTTTTTTTTTTTTTTTTTTTTTTTCCAAAATTAGGGGAAAGAAAAAGGAAGGAGTTTTGGGGGAATTTTTTTTTTTTTTTGTTTTTTTCCAAAATTAGGGGAAAGAAAAAGGAAGGAGTTTTGGGGGAATTTTTTTTTTTTTTTGTTTTTTTCCAAAATTAGGGGAAAGAAAAAGGAAGGAGTTTTGGGGGAATTTTTTTTTTTTTTTGTTTTTTTCCGGGTCCCGCAACGGATCCCAACCCTCAGTGTTGCCCCCGTACCGGACCGGGGACCGGCAACAGGACTGCAACCCTCGGTGTTGCTCCCGCGCCTCGCTCAGCCAGTGAGCGGGAACCGGTCTGTATGTGGGATCCGAACCCTCGGGCGGGAGCGCCGCCGCGCTTCCCAAGCAGCGCACTTATCCAGTGTGCCACCGGGCCGGCCCCCAGTTTAGGGGAATTTTATATGGCCCATACTTAATGGTATTTGGTGATCAGTTAGTTGAATACGGAGGATTTAGAGGAAATGCATATGTTCCTTTTTTGGTCAGCTGGGTGATTGCCACTATCAACTGAATTAGGAGGTAGGTATAGGAGAAAGGTGCTAAACATGTTGAGTTTGCATTACCTATCATATTTCAGTAGCAAGGTAGTAGATGATTGAACATTAGAGCTAGAAGCTCAAAGAGTGGTCTGAACCTGAGAAATCAACTTGGGAGTCATCACTGTGTTAGTTAGCAAAAAATGTCCTAAGCAGGATGTACAGTAAGAAACATCAACATGTGATGATTGACAAAGGCGGGGTAAACAGTGAGAGATATAGAGGATGACTAGAATAGTCATAGAAAATGATAGTATCCTGGAAGCCAAAGAAAGAAGAGTTTTCAGCTTGGTAGGTAGTGATCAATATCAAGTGCTGTAGAGAAGTCAAGTTAGATGAGACTCATCAAAGACCAGTTTCCTTGGAAATTAAAAGTTACTATTAACCTTTAACAGTTTCAGTAGAATGGTTAGAAGATGGGGAGAACATTCTTTCAAGAAGGGAAAAAGAGAAAACAGCTTGATAGGGAGGCCATATCAAGAAAAGATATTTCAGGTTTGTTCAAAATTGAGCATGTTTGATATCCAAGGAAAAGAAGCTAGTGGAGAGGGAAAGGATGAAGGGAGGGAGGTATCTGAAGAGAGGCATGAAGGGAATGGGAACTGAAGCACAGTTATACTGTTTAACTGTGCAAAGGAATAGAGACACACTTTACCTGGGGG